CCCGCCATAGAAATGCCTCCTGTGGTACGACAGATTCATTAAAAAATCTTTTAACAAAAAACAAAGTCAATTTATTCTATTGACTTTGACAAATCGATGGGACTGAGTCAGACATATAGGATCCCCTCTCAAGTGAATGTCTGATAGTGCCAAGTAAACCGCTTGAAAGTGAATTTGAGCCTTTCTGGCAGTCCAGAGGGATCAAAGTCATCTAGAATAGCGAAGTGATGGAAGGAGACACTGAATGCCAATGGGTTCGCCTACACTTTCCAAGTTAGTATCGGCCTCTACAAAACCCGTTCACCAAGGCGTTTCGGCTGTAATGGGGATAGGAGAACCCCAAAGTGACACGATATTGTCGTACCAGTTTTGTATCTGCCCCTCAGGACGTTTCCCAACATGCTTGAGATCATTCCATCCAACCTGCCCCTTCTCAAACAATTCGTTACCATGGATAAATAACGATGTTGTCTCCTAGATCTGACAGGATTTTTCAGAGGTTGATGAAACAATACCTTGAATGGCTTTAAATGACAACTTAAGGAAGTTTTGCCAGGTCACCCTTCCCGAGGTCATAAGAGTAAAGCGTCAACTGCTTTTGTAAAATCACCAACGCATATACTGGGGATGTTTGTATTCGAGTTCGTTATAAACTGAGGCCTCGCCTGGTGCGAAGAGAAGTTTTGTTTGCGTTCCCGCGGCGTCGGTCCTATCGTGAGGTCTTCAACCAGATAAGCAATGGGCAAAGACCTTACGGCAGATGACCTTACCGGACGATGTGTCAAGTGGCACAAAATCACAACGTGCGTTTACGGGGCCAGCGGCTGACCATCACAGGAGGCCAGGGACTGGGTACAAATCGAAATCACTCGGTGGCGTTCATCATGCGCATTCAATATCGCTGATTGAGTTTGAACCCAGAGCAGATGCCAGCGCCGACTAAGTGAAGTACAGGTAGCGTGATATTCAGACAATTACGAGGTCATGAGAAAGAGCGTGATTACTCGAAAGTTAGAGAACTAGCCACAAAAGCGGAAACCTCCAGAAAACCGAAAAAAAACCATTTGTTTTAGTGGCTACAGGACCCCTCAGCAAAATTACTCCCACAAATTTACGCCGGTCTGTGCTCTATTGGCCGGAAAAAAAACTGAAGTTGAAGGGAAAAATTTTCACCCGATATGATTCCATCCAAAAAAGGGTATTTAAGTTGTGCCAAAAAAGTGGATTCGTTTTAACGCATTGAAAGAAGTTAGTAACTTTACCATTCAGAGGGGCTTGACCACGTGACACTTCGTCAACCAACGCAGTGCAAACCGCGCAGCCGCCCTCAGATTGGATGCACTGCAGGAGTGCGCAGTTTGCATGACCAAGGCGAAGACAATGTTTGCGTCCATTTAAGAATTCGCCACGTCCAATCCGGAGGACTGCGTCGCCGCCATTATTGCATGCAAATTGCACACAGGTCCCACCACCCCTATTGGT